GTACTCCCACTGTACTCCCACTGTACTCCCACTGTACTCCCACTGTACTCCCATCGTACTCCCACTGTACTCCCATTGTACTTCCAAAAGTATGGGAGTAGATGAAGTATCGCTTTTTCCCCCTTGGCACCTTTTCTATAATCTTGTCCACAAAACTTTATTCTAGTCTTAAAAACGTTACTTTTTATATGTAGATGAGGGCATTAGAAGTAAAAAATACCCTTAATGGCATAATTTGAAACAGTGGGAGGATTGAATAAAGTTTGACGCTGCTCATGCTGCATTGGCTCACGCGTAACATAAACTGCTCACTACATTATCAAATATTTAGGTCGACGCATTAATGTTCTCTCTATTGAAAACAATAATGATCAGTTTCAGATTATGATTATTAGCAGCGACTAATGAATCAGTTGCTACTATTACTACTAATTCATGCCTTTTGCGATATAACTAGGGACAATTGCTGCAACTTGTGATGTTTTATCAGTAGGAGATCATTTTATTCGATGTATTTTGAGATACATTTCTTCATCCCGCTTTTTGTTCAACTCTTGAGAAAGCCAACAAGGAAGTAAATAATATATTCTTATCTTATGGGAAAATTCATTTAAATTTAGTATTGTTCGCGCGAATCTATTGCGATGGGAGAAAAATATCATTCGACTTTTATAATTCAAGGAAAATTGAAGCTCCTAAGAAAAATCTGCGAGGAAAAAACCAGACAACTAGGCATTAAACGATTAGAAATTCGGAGTTCGAGAATTTTGAGTGTTCTAGTAAAGTTTAGGCAATCTAATACTTGTAAAGTCTGTTTTGTTTTTCGTCCGATTCCAGTGAGTTGAACATTTCATTGAATTTCAGAAAGTGTGACAATCATAAAGGACAAAAAAAGACTACAGTCAAACAGTCAACCTCCCAATTATCTGATAATCGTCTCGTGTATGATAACTTAAGAAAGGTGATTTATCAAAGTTATGAATTGATTTAACACCTTCTCCTCGAGCTTTGACTTTTAATTAGCTGAGAAAAGAATGAGAGAATCTGTGATAACACTAAATGGACCACTTGTGCAAGTCTAACTTGAGAAAGCAACCTGTTGTCTCATATGACGAAAACCATTACAGTTTATTGGATCAATGCACAAACTAATACGTAAACTCTTATGCTTTTTTTTTATTGAAATTCAACAAATATAGCTGATCGTAGGATATAATTCATGAATTCTCTTCTTTGTCAGTTAGCAATAAACTTTAACATCAGCTCATAAGAGTCTTGGAAGAGACTTTCTCTTTTAATCAGAAACTTTGTTCTCTGATATCGAAATTAATGTAAAAAACATAGTCATGTATAGAAAGCCTCTTGTTTTAAATTAGAAAGGACGATTACGCTTCTATCTAATTGACTGAGGCATATTCTGCGATCAGATTACCAAATGAATAAACAGTTACACATGAGATGCTCTAGATTCACTAGATACAGTGTATCTCTTTTATTACTCATTGATTTGTCTGATGTCTTGTTGCTTTTTTTTTATTCTGCTTGATGCATTTTGCGAGTAAAATATGAAAGTAGACATCTCTATTTTAAAAATCGACTTTACACTCATCTCATAAAGTTGAATGTCTAGAACTTTCAAGATAAACAATATTTTGCCCCAATAGCTTAATACAGCTTTAAAACTGTATTATAAAACAACGAAGCCCTGACTCTGAGTCCTATGAGATTTTTAGAACTATAATTATGGTCCTAGAGATCCAATATGAATTTCTAGAATGCAAATTATTATAATAAATGTTTTATAAGTCCCATGAAAATCCCGGCAATCCAATGGAAATCCCGGTAATCTCATGGCAATCCCGGTAATCTCATGGCAATCCCGGTAATCCCATGGAAATCTCGGCAATTCCATGGAAATCCTGGCAATCCCATAGAAATCCCGGCAATTCCAGGAAATCCTGGAGATCCGAAATCCGCCTTTTCCCCCTTGGCTATAACGCTTGTATTAATATGAGAATGAAGTTGGCTATGTAGACGATAGTTTTTGTCTGTCTTTTTCTGATGAGACAATATCCTTCTCTTTATCTCTTTCGCTTTCTTTACCTTCTGCATTTAACTCTATTCTTTGTCCCGCTACATTATTTTCTTTTCCTTTGTATGTGCGTATTCATTTGTTATATGTATCATGCAGAGCGTTCTAATGCCTATTAAAAGATAACAAATGCTTCTTTCTTCTGTTTTTTCTTTTTGATTTTTTTCTTCTTTTCAGAACGACAACCAGCATCATACATATGCGGTATATTCACACGTAGTTTGATAAATGTATATTTCAATGTTGTATACTTTATCAGAACATATATTTGAATTATTTTCTACACTTTCACTCATGTACACTTATGCAATGTTTGTGTACTTTTGATATCCGCTTTATTCAGTTTAATGCTGGCGGCAAGTTTACTTTCTGTAAACACATGACGGGTGACCCATAATAAATGGCCACACTTTGTTTTTTTATGAAGACATATTGTGTGATTAAAAGATGAAAGGAATTCTCGTTCGTGTAGAATGAAAAGGATTCTTTCGCAATGGTGAAAACTAGTCGCAGAGAATTTGGGTTTTTTTTGGAAAAAAAGTGCTACTATAAAATAAGTGTTCCAATATAAATTGTAAAGCTTTTTACGCTGCATATCATGGTGCATTTTGTCTTTTTAATAATAAGTATTTTGAAATAAATATGCAATGCAAAATGCGGCCATCCATTATGGGTCACCCGTTATTTGAAAGCGAATTGTAAGAGACATAAAAAAACTTGCGAATGTCACAAAAATTATGGCGTGAAACGTTGGTTAGCATCGTGTTACTCTTATGATATAAATTGTGTTGACCATGGAAAAGCATATCTCAATTTCCTTACATTTGAACTTACTATTTCTTATATTCTTTGTTTGCAATCATCTTGAAGAAGTAACATATATGGTAAAATTTTTGTTCACGATCAAAAAATGATCGATGTTTCGTTGTATGATAATACTGGAACCCTTACAATATGTGGGGTGTGGGTGTTTTGAGTGTGACTGTGTCCTGTGTCCTGTGGTTTGCATTGAATGGGCTGTGAGTATGAATAGGTGAGGATGTACGTTTTTTTCTCTATATGCCACATTCACCCACACCCAAATGACCGGAAATCAGCTGAAGAATCCGGAAAACTTTGGGCTGGACCACTGCTTCCAATTTTTCTACAAATTTCCACTTTTTTTTGTAGAATACAGTGACTTTTCATGCATTTTGCGCCGATTTCTGTGGTATCAGTTCTTCGGAATGTTTGCCTTTGGAAGTCAATTTATGATTATTGAAATTTCAGTTTTTTGATAAAATGCGATGGACTCACAAAAATCGATTTAAATCCTATGATAGTCGTTTTTGGTACATGTAAAAGGCTGCGTCATCAAGTTTTCTTAGCGATGGAAACGTGTGACCATGATCATTTTGCAGATCTTTAATCGCGAGATAAACAATTAGTATTGTTGGTTGCTAACGCTACTGCTAAGCCGACTGACTGCTCTGTGGCTGCAAAACAAAACTCGTCATACTAAAGAGGCAAAAATAAAAACCGGTAAAAAGCAAAATTCATCAATATCCTCAAACGAAATCTACTTGTATTGGAAAACATCGGAATACTTGGCAAAGAAGTAGGCATATAATGAGTTCAAAAACAAAAATAATAAAAAATGGTTCAACAGTATGTCTGCAGGCTTCAGACGTAGTTCAATGAAAGGCATACACACTAAATTTACATGCGTTGTGTTTATGTGTCGTGAATTATCATGTCGTGCTGTTCAGCCCAAAAATGTGTCGTATTTAGAATACGTCGTAGACAAATTTGTCGAATTCTGTCTATCGACTATTCATTCATCATTTTGTTATGCATACGTAGTGATATATAAACAACAAGGTTGAACCAACGAAAAATAGATTTTCAAAATCCTTTTTTTCTAGATTTTTTCTTGATGATTTTTCAGTCGAGAAAATGCCGATCTCGATCTATGATTGCGAGAGGATAACTGTGAAGCGCTCTGACAGAAATCGAAACAACTGAAGTTCGGAGGGTGTGGGTGTGGATGTGGGTGTGGGTGTGGGTGTGAGTGTGGGTGTGAGTGTGGGTGTGGGTGTGGGTGTGGGTGTGGGTGTGGATGGGAGGGTTGTTTTAACATACGCACACCCACACCCACACCCCACACCCCACACCCCACAGCGGCACCCACACCCCACACCCCACACCGGCACCCACACCCACATCCACACCCAAAATCCTAGAGAAAACAATTTTACAGTAATTCAGAAGTAGTTAGAGGTCTTACTTTATTGCTTTTTGCTACCTGGTTTTGATAAATTTTCTTTAGATGATAATCAGGACATGATATTTAGTTTTTAAAAAGTCCTCGAATGATCACTATTTTTCTTTCAAAAAGGTGTGAAGGATGATCAGTTTTGAATTCAATTGACTGATAACTAATCGAGAGAAATAAAAAATTCAAAGAATAAACTACTTTAAATTTAAATGAAACCCAATTCGACCGAAAACGACATCTATCAAAAGCATTCACATTACTGATCTACACGGATGAAACATGGAGCAGTCATTCTATTCCGTGATATTCTACATTGCGAAATCGATTTTGCTCCCGGAATCAGCTCCATCTGACTTCGGAATTCCTAATCGTCGAACTAACTCACCTTATTTGAGAATGATCGAGTTCCCTTGATTTCCAGAATTCCATCTCATTCTCACCCTCAACATGCCTTCTTTAGTTAAAGATAAATATCTAAGATAAGCGAACTATTCCAGAACGAAATTCCAGGAATTAGGTGGAAGCAAAATCAAACGGAATCGAACGGAATTTCTAGCAGTTCACAGCAATTCTGTTCCATTCCAAAATTCCTTCCAAATCCGGAATCGTTCATTTATTTTCAGATATTTGTTTATGACTACACAAGGCATCCTGAGAATGAGGGTGATATGGAATAAGGGAAGTGGATGCAATAGCGAAATCATGTGCAATTCCGGTAACTCCGGAAACCGAGGGAACTCGATCGTTTTCGAATAAGGTGAGTTAGTTCGACGATTAGGAATTCCGAAGTCGGATGGAGGTGATTCCGGGAGCGGAATCAATTTCGCAATGTACAAAATCCCATAATAGGATGCATTCTCTATCTTCGACATCATAAATAAGCATAGTATACTCCATCTTTCATTCTTTTACGTGCCAATTCATTTTCCCTTTAGTACCAAAGATGGACCATTCGGTACTTTTTTTCTTTTTGTTTATTAGCACGTCAAACAAACCATGTGTTTCCAATGTACAAAAAACAAGTATTATGATACTGTTTATTTTTTTTGTAAATACTAGAACAACGAAAACAAACAATATCTAAACTTTATGTAATTGAATTTATTTTAAATTAAAGTGAGAATATCTAACTTAAAATATTTATTAAGAAGTTAACGTGACGCAAGCGTCGCCAACCCTCTACTGAAAGGTTGCAGTGTTTCAGAATTTAAAGAACCTAAGTAGGGATTGTGTTTCAATTTTATTTTACTTCAATAAAATAAAGTGAACAAAAGCATTTAGCTTTTAAGTACTGAGTAAGATTGGCCTATTTTACTTTACTCGATAAACTTAAGTAGCTCTACTTTATCCGAAAAGTAAAGTATAGTATCTCTTACTTTATCGAAAAGGTAAGATAAAGTAAAGCATGCAGTTGATGATTATTGATATATTAGTTCACCATCACGCGTTAATTACATTCCAATATATCAGAATTTATCTCGAACTATGGTTCGAAGCCCTCGAAAAGGCTGAATCGAATTTTATCATCTTGACCATTGAACTCTGACTGTTTTTCATGGTTTTGATTTTATATTTTATCCGAAGAGAAAACACCAGACACCAGACTTAAAGAAGTGTGTGGATGTGCGAATGGGTGTGGATATGCGTGTTAATGCAGAGGTAGCCTGTATCTAGTCGCATACCCACACTCCACTCACCCTCAAGCTTACATAAATGATAATATCAACTACTTTCAATTATTTTCTTTGTCCATTTATCGAAATCAGCGTATAGAGAATCTGTATCGAACAGAGATTTTGTGTGTACAACATGCGAATCTGTGCTACTCTTTAGTATTTTACTGATGTGAAGAAAAACATTCATATTAATGGACTTAATTTATTTTAGTTTTCACAGTATTATTAAATATAATGTAAGTTCAAGGATACAATAGATAAGAGTGTAATTGTAAATTTTCATTGTAGTTTCATCTTAAAAAGCTTTACTTGTTCTTCACGTCATACATCCATTAAATTTACATCGCGATGTAAGATTTGTCTTCCAATAGCTTTTTTTCTTTTCTTCTGTATGAAATGTTAAATTGCGCACAAGCTCACTCTTATTCATTTTGCAGGTGAAAAGAGAAAGAAATACAAAAAAGAAATGCACGTGTATCGACAAAAACTTTGTTTTCTTTATTTTATACAGAAGAGCAAAGAATTTTTGATGTGAGTATTGAAACATGATCTATCATATATAAAAAAATAAATAAAAAGTTCGATCATTTCACTTTGCAAGCATCAATCTCTCACCGATACATAATAAAGTAAGTACAGTTTCATAATTGAAGTAAATCATCTCTTACCATCGATATTTTTTATTCACATAGAATTTTATGAATGATTCTATTTCGTAACATAATCCTCATCTGTATTCATTTACTTTGTAGTCTATTCTTAGATTTTAAATAATGCCAGTGTTGAAATTATTAGTATATGAAATATGTAAATGGAAACATTTCCTAGATTTATCATCAACAATTTAATATAGTTTTTTTTTGTTATTATTATAGATTGAAAAAACGACATGTCCTTAGAATCTTATTGGACTATAACGCATGGTCATGCAAACCGTACTGGTTGGAGTTGTCGAGAATGTCATGCTGTAATCTATCAGGGTGAACCAATAGTGATACGCGATGGACGTAAACTTCGTTTAATGTATCATGAACGCTGTTATAGCGGTGATTCAGATCCGCGCACACAGACTGGTAGTTCTTACTACGATAATAAATGGATAAACGCTCATTCTATTCAAGGAAAAGCACCATCTGTCAAGGGATATGGTAAATGGAGTTGTAGTGAATATGGTTATAAAGGTGATTTATATGCAACAAGTTCAAATGTAAAACTACGATCCAGATCTAAAGAATCAAATGACACGGCGGCGTCACAATCAACTATTCGAAAAACTGGATATTCGAATTCATCCAAGAAAACTCTCTAGTATATCAAGTATCAAACTTGCTTCTGTGAAACATTACATGATATAACCTGTATCACTTAGACAAGTTAACTATTATAAACAAGCAATATGCATGTTCAAAGACTTATTGAAATTCAGCATAATTCAAAAATTGTGCTGTAAACTGACAACATCTATGTAAATTATGAAAATGGCGTGCTTTGTGTTAATAAAAAGAATTATTCAGAGTAAAGTATAGGCATGAGTGAAGAGAAAACCTACATCGCTATTTTTCTTTGGTACGTCAATAGTAGAATGACAATCAAAATAAATTGCTATTACCAATTCAATTACTGGAACACAACTTGATTCATCTTTTTCTTCTTGGCGAGAACTGATTCTCTGAACTAAAATGTTTGAATTCATTTTTAAGTCCTGCAGCATATTTTTATTTATTTTTTTAGCTTTCAAACAGAGCAATCATCAAATATGTCGCATCTAAATTGACCCTTTTAGAACATTCTTTTAAATATCTGTTCTTAGTTAGAAAACTATGACATTTTAAGTTAATCAAACCAAAGATAAAACAAAGTATGTAGAATTTCGATAGATGAAGATCTGATATTGACTAAAATAGTTTTGTTCACATGCAAGACGTTCGATCATCTTGAAATGAACTACTATTGACTCGAAGTTCGAAGCCACTCAAATTATGTGACTATTATACTTTTATTTTGCAAAGTTTACTTGGAAATAATGAGTGTTACTTTGAATTCAAACTCGAGACTCTTCATTTTATGCATCTTTTCTTTGTAGATATGTTTCAGAAACAGCGCAATATACTGTAAGTCAATCGACATCTTATCGCCCTATGCATCATACCCGCTTACCTTTATTTAACTGTGATATTAGAGCATTTTTATTAACTGCGTTTTTTGAAAAGTAACAAGAGAAATGATCATTACCATTTTACTATGTTTCATTTGTCGAGGTGCATCATATGACCTACTAGAAAATATCCAGAAAGACAGAAACCTTTATTTTAATTCTGGATTGAAATGTGAAGTATGACTGTGTCTTTTGAGAAAGATAAGTGGTGAAATGTTGGCTATTTTGAAACAAAAAGAAAAAAACATAAATATAAAAAATATCTGACATTGAATGCCTTAGAAAAGCATTCCATTAGCATTCACATGGTTAAAATTATAGAGAGTTCTCACGTGATACAATATTCTCTGTGATTTAGAATATGAAACTATATCAGAGTCAGATTTTAACTAAAGTAAAAGCTCTGGTTAAAAATAACACTACAACAAGCATGGTGATGATTGCTCTGAAAATCAAAAAACGAAGACAGTAGGAACAAATTATGTTAACACTGTATATTTTCTTATGTAAAATATTGCAAATGTCATAATGCATCATATGGATAAATCAAACAAGTTTAGAGTTAGCTGAGTCAGATTGCTCTACAAATTTCTTCGCATCAAGGTGATTCTACTCATGATAAATGTTTTGTTTACGATTTAAAATTGTTGTTAAATCAGCAATAAAGATAGATAGTCATGATGACAGTGAAAAACGGCAAAGAAGAAAGTCTAATGTCGACTCGTGTATCCTTGCCGCTATCATCAGTGATAAGAATGTAACTATCTATTAAACGACGAAAATGACTTGCATCATTGTGATTCAAAGGAAAACAAATGATAATGATAACGATTGCAATGATATTGAAGTCTTATATACATAGGCAATTTTACGCACATCATATTGTTTCAACTAAATAGTCTAATCAACGACATACAACCATCCATATATTTACAACAACAAGTAATATAGAAAATTGATTAGTTTTTCTATCAATAATATTTTTTAGCTTATGTATAAATTTAAGAGATAAGGCTTTGAAGTAGTTAACTGAACTTTATAGTTGTGTTCATTGTCATGATAAAATTTCTCATAATTTTCTTTAAAATTATGCAATGACATTGTTAACTGTCTCAACGACATTTAGTATTGCAACATTTTTAGGTGTCTTTTTTCGTGATTCAATCTGTTTCATTTTATTTAAACTGAAGTTGTTTGTCATTGTACACAGCTTGGCATAGAATTAGGGTAAATAGATGAGATCATCAAAATATTCTTCTATTTGCTGTCATGAAAATTGTTTATCCTACATCAGCTTTTTTCAGTTGATTTTCTTTGTTTAAAGGATGATTCGCAACGCAGCATTGATGCTACTATTATTAACCATGGTAAATTGCCATAGCTCACTTCACAATGTATACCTTCGGGCTAAAGCTGGATCAGCAATTGGTAATCGTCCTCATGATTCAGTCAATACTCGTGCAGCAATACCAATCAAAACTAGCAAATCAGCACCTATCAATCCTGATTTGTTTTTTCCTCCTCTTTCTGGACAGTCAAATAATGATTTTCATCCACAATTACGTCAACTTCCATCAGCGAACGATCCATTGTACTATTATTCGTGGCATATTCACACTTATTTCTTCCATGAAAATAAAAATGTTACTGCACGTGCTCTAGCCATCCGAGAACAATTTATGAACTATTTCGAGATAAAGAAATGTGAGGGTAATTGTTTTATGGGTGGAATATTTGATAATTGTACGCGAATGTGTGTCTGGGATCCAGTTATGGGTGTTGATGGACCCCATCCATATGGACAATGGGGTGTCTATTTGCCAAATGAACTTTTGAGTGATACATTAATGTGGATGTCGGCAAATCATGGCGAATTCGAAGTTTTGTTTCATCCAAATACAGGAGAAATGATTGGTGATCATGATAGTCAACAACGAGCTATGTGGATCAAGCAACAGGTGCCACTTGATTTAGATTTTCTCAGATGGTTACAATGTCAATGGTTTGGATGTTAGAACAAGTTGTAACCTAGTATATGTTGCATTGTTCTTCACTACTGTTTTTTTGTAACAAATTCACTAAAAATAAAAAAGAAATTTATTTATATTCATAGATCAAGTATGCTTAGAAGATTGACAAATAGATTTAACTCAATAAGTGTGAACATTTTCAAAAACGGCATATGCTTTGGAGGAAGAAAATGACTATTCTGAAGTTGTCAGAAATCCTAAATTGAGTAATGTTGACAATTAATATAAATAATACAATCAAAAACACTTGTAAAACAAAAGTTTTACATCAATACCTTCGAGTTCCTACTTTCCACGAGGATGAATCAGCTATTTCAAAATACTTAAGCTTCACTCTATTTTAACTGTAATTTATCTTCTTTTTTCTTAAATTCTAAACTTGACTGGTCTATTTGCAGAGATGCGTTCTGGAATTTTCTACAAACACGCTGCGCTTTGAAATTCCTTATTATATAGGTGTACTTTTTTGCATGATGATCAGCTATCGTTCAATAATTACAACTCGTTCTCGTTTTTCAGTTCATTCGAACATCTCATAATCTAATAAATCTGTTTAAATAAATCATACGCTCAATTTTTGAATAAAATCACAACGAGAGATGTATCTGAACGAGCAATGAGCGATAATGATATTCAGTGATCGGTTACTATCTTCAAGATTCAAGTGATAAAGATCAATGATAATATGTCCGCACAAGATCTGTTTCGTTAAAAAATAATGTCAGTTCAAAATAATATATTATTCATCATAAACGACAACGTGTCACTCCCATTAAGAAAATTTTTTTTTATAATCTTGATAAAACTTCAAAAAATCGTGACATTTTAATTCTATCCTAATAAAATCTTCTCATCTATGTCCATAAAGGAGACAAAAGCTAAGTCAATTTTATTTGATAGAAATCTAGTCAATGAATATTTTCTCATGAAGATTTAAATGAATGTAAAGTTAACGTGAGGGTGAGTGAGAGTGTGTGGGTGTGGGATGTGGTTGTGGATGTAGGTGAAGGGATAAAATTCAAACCGACATTTGTCTGACTGAGTATGCTTCTAACATACTATGCTTAGGGTTTCTTAGACAAAGTTCAGATTCGGTATTTGTCTATGTATAAGAACCTTTCTAATGAAACTGCTCTACCATCAATTGAATTAAGTTTTTAAAATATTCGAAGTAATCCTAAAAGTTGTTAATTTTTTTTTCATAAAAAGCCAAATCAATTGATCATCATTGCTCCTTCTTCTCATCGTCATGTTCATGTTAAAAGTAATGAAAATTTGTTAACATTGGAAGAACCAGATTTGATTTTATGGAGATAGTTCGAAAAAATTCATTTCTTTTTAATTTCAAAACGAAAAAAGCCTTCAATGAAAACAAACACTATAATGAATTTTATGTTGCTCATTCAGTAAAGAAACAAGCTAAAAATAATCATTTAATTCTTTTTCTCTAACAATCGTAACTGTTCTTCTATCGATCAGCTGTATACTATTCCTGTTATTCAAATCAAACCTAAGTCAAATGAATGGAGTCTTTTCTTTTGCTTTAACGATATGTTCACATCCTTGTTTTCCTTTTGACAGATGTATAGTCTAAAATCATTTTCAGATGGCAAGATATAGAAAACCTTAACAGCGGAGATGCATAAAGATAAGTCTCCTTTTTTTCTTTCGTGACGATACATAGATAATTAGTTTTTAAAACATGGAAGATCTTCGAAATTTTTAACTTCAGTCAGAGATAAAAAAAGAATTAAATTTAAGAAAACAGATACACTTTGAGTTGGGGTTCAATTTTCAAGTAAATTTTGCACTGAAATGCAATTGATAATATTCTCTTGTTATAAAAAGCAGATAAAATCAAGGAGGAAAAAGCTGATTGTCAATGATTAGAAATAGTCTTTTTATTTTTAGAAATAGTTTAACCGTGTTTTTCATGACATATTTCAAACACTCATCTAGTAATATAACTCATATTCTTCATTTTAGATATAAAATTTACCGTTTGTCTAGCAAAATAATAATATAGATATCATGTAAACGATTGTCAATTCTTTAAAAAAATATAAAGAGCTACTAGAATCTTTTTATGTCTGTTGAAATGATTTTTCAGCAATTTATTTCATATAACAGTTATGACAAAACTAGAATGTAGCAAACAAATATCAATTAACTTTTTTCATTAGTCATAACACATTTCAAACGATCGGACGATGGCGTCGGCTTATCATTTGAAAGTAGCCATACAGTTGTTTGTTCATGTAAATATTTTTTCTTACCATTGATATTGATAATAAAATATGACTCTGCCAAATTTGAATTGATGGAGTCAAAAACCTGCATTCATGGATATGTGGTTGCGCTGACACTTATAAAACTATCCAATAAAAGTTTTGGGGTGTGGGGCGGGTGTGAGGGTGCTGGTGTCGGGTAGGGTACACATTTAATTGTATCACACTCATCCATTCACACCACGTGCACATTCACATCCACACCAATACTTAGACCCTTAAATTATTTCGAGCCTATCTTCCTGAAAACAAATGTGTTTTGAAAACATTTTTTTTTAAAACGCTCAGAATTAAAAACTTCACAAACGCTGAAATTTTCATCAGAATTGGAAATCACTTTTCTACGATGTGGTCCAAACATGCTGAACATATTCAGCTGTAAAACTAAAAACGTTCGATCTCCGTAGAAACGGGCCATAGACACGAACTTTTTTAGGTACACATAGTTCATTAATATCTACAAGATGCATTTAGTCTCGACTGAAAAGCTCCCCGACACCTAAACACGTTTTCTCGCTGGTCGAATTTTAAATCACATTGCCAGTGAAAAATATTTGCCATGGAAAAATGATGAGAAGAACCAAGAATCAGCATTAAAAATCCAATTATACTCCATCCACACTATATCGCTACTTTCCTGTTACTACCTCTACTGCGGTTCTTGTTTGACACATATGCAATTAATAGCTTATATTCAGCGTAAGTAATACGAAAGATCTGCAGTTTGGATAACTGAATCTTGTTCTGATGTTATATTACTGTTTTCAGAACAATTTAGCGATATTAAGTGTAATTTAGACGTATACTGAGAAATATCACTTTGAGTCTACTAAATAAAAGCTCAGTTAGAAATAAAGTACGGTTATTACACAGTGCTTTTCTGATCTCTTAGCTTCAAAGCACAAGCAAATATTTCAATCCTCCTTTGTTGCAAATATGGGTGGCACTTTAACATTAAACTTTGAATTTTGAAGTGGTTTAAGTTCAAAGTCGCACTTTGAACTTTGAAAGTTAAGGCTAAAGTTTAAAATACTACTGAGCTTTAACAGTTAAAGTAACTATACTTTAAGCTTTTCTTTTAAAAAATTCAAAATGGTTTCGTATAAAACAAATTATTCTTAAAAATTCGTAAAAGTGAATAAACATTTACGGAGGTACCCACAGTTGTACATGAGTCGTGCAGCAGGATCGTTCGTAGGGTGTAGATGTGGGAGTAGGTGTTAGCGTTAATGATTAGTAGAAGCATACCGGCACGAACACCGACAATCCATACCTACACACCCACACCCACACAGAAAATTAACTATATTTTTTATGCAGGCCTATCCACCCTAATATATATTCCCAAAGTTTCAGGTCGATAGCACGTTCTGGCTTGAAGATCATATTTTGAGCGGAACCTTACTAATAATTTTGTCCTTTTTATTCATATAGGCGTGACATGTTTTTCATTATTATTATTATTTCTATTACACATATATAATAAAGAAAAGTACTTATTTGGAAAAACTGACACTTGATAGTTTATCATCTTACATAATTAAAAAACGTATGTGCTCACATCGATATGAATACATTTCTTGATTATTCTAAAAATACCATCAAAATTCATAGATCAAGATTAGTTCCATTTCAGAATAATATTATCAGAGATACGCTGAATCGTATAGTTAGGCAATAACTTCTCTGTATCAATCATGTTTTGTAATTTATGAACTATTTTATCGTTGCCATTTCGAATATTGAGATATAAACAAGTGAGATAAGGAATGTATGTATTGAGTTTTATCAAAATAAATTGTACGAGCATTTCTATATCCATATTTTCTGGAACGTTTATATAAAAATATTGTATACGAAGACAAAAATAGAGAAGAAAGTTCACTTGTTCGATGTCATTCACCTTCTCAAGGTTAAGTTTTGCAATTTTATTTTTGATCGATACTAGATAAAGAAATTCGGCATCTTTTTTAAACATCCAGTCTGAGTTCATGAGTAGTAAAGATGATACTTTCAATGAATCAAGATTAGGTAATAAATATATAATTCTTAGTAAAGTTCCAATAGGAATCGTCTTACAATTAATACTTAAATGAGTAAACTGAACTGAAACAAACGTAGACTTGAAGTCATCAATAAATGTTTGATTTTGTTCCTGAGAAGAGCAACCAGTGATCAAAAGCTCAATAATTGGATTAATTTTAGTCAAAACATTGTCAATACTTTTTCGACTAGAAATATTCAAATATTCTATTGATTTCGGATTAATATGTTGATCAGAATATGTGATATTTTCTGTGCGTTCTTCAAATTCAAACCATGTTTTCCTAAAATAAAAGGGTATATATATATATTGCTAAAAAAGGTTTTTATGATATACTTATATGGATGAATTAAAAAACTGATTTCTTCAATGCTAATTTCTAATTCAAATATCCATCCTCTGTCTACCCAAAATGGTGAAGTAAATCGATTGATAATTACATCGAGAATTGTGTCTTCATAAGTATTGTAATCGTATTCAGAATATTGGTAATTGAACCTACACAAATGGGACATGTGTTTTGTGATTAATCGTTTCCATCGATCAGCATCAAGATATGCTTTACCATATTCTTGAGTAATATGCAATACTTGTAATTGAGAAAATATTTTCATAAACATCTCAAATTCATCAAAGTCTATATGATAAACATT